GTGGGCCGTGCCTGCGTGCCAAAGGCCGTGCCGTGCCGTGCCGATTTCCAAAATCGTTGTTCACGGCCCACGGCCCACGGCCCACGCCTGGGCCGCTGTGCCGTGCCGTGCCGGAGCCGTGCTCGTGCCGGGCCGTGCCTCCGCCGTGCCATGCCCGTGCCGCCCGTGTGCCGGCACGGCCCATGGCTACCTTTAACCATACTAGCTAGTAACTCTCTAAAAAAACATACTTAGTAGTTAGGGCGTAGGATACAATTATACTAAAACAACCCCTATTACTCATCATCTTCACTCTCATCACTCTTACTCTCATCACTCTCTTCTTCCTCTTCATCTTCACTCTCCTCCACATTTTCTTTTCCCTTAGCTTTCTTTTCCTCATCAATCTTGTTGAGCACCTCTTCTTGCTCCTCCGCATCTCCTGTTGCCTCCTCAAGCATCTTGTTCACATCATGGTAGGATGCATCCGAACCCGAGACACCGAGCTTTCTTTTGAGCTTATCAAAAGTAACATCTCCCTCGGCATACGCTTTTGCCACCGCGCCGGCTTTAAAGGTGTACTCGACCGTAGCACCCGCCATCGCCAATTTCGATGCTTTGTCCATAATATCATCATAAATATTTTCATTTTCTTGTTCTTCATTGATGTCTTTAACATCTTCTTCGTTCATGTCAAAAATTATTTCACCTTTTGGAACTTTTGGATTAAAGTTTTTGATTTATTTGAGTTTGGTTATATTTGATATAGCTCTCGAAGAAGACATTTTGATATAGAAAAGTTGTTTGGGTTGAAGTTAGTTATGAGAATGGTTATGAGTTGAATAGCAAGTAAGATAGCAACTTCAAGTAAGATAGTGTTGTTTGGTTTATCTGTCCAAGAATTTCAGCATTGTAGGCGTCAGAACAGGCGGCGAACAGCTTCTCCCATTTTTCAAAGTTGGAGTTGAGGAATAGAGCAGCCCAGGTCCTCTTCATAATGGCCATATAGTCATCATTCATGTCCTGGACGAGGGCCTCCTTGTCCTTTTGCTCCGCCTCCGACAGTTGAGCTTGAATCTGAGCAGGAAGGTCCGCCTCCTGAGTCTGCAGGCGGCTCTTTAGCTTGTTAAGGCGCCTACGCAGGCTTTCTGCCTCCTTCTCCGCCCACCTGAGAGGCTCCATCTCTTCTCTAAGGGCCGCCAAGGAATGCTCCAGCTCTTGAATCTTGGCCCTGGCCGCCTCAAGGTCCTTCTTGACCTGCAAATTGGCTGACGCCTGAGAATAAAGGATGTCAGTCGTAAGATTTCATTTTGGGCTATCTGGAACATAGCCTTGTCAAAATCAGAGGCGGCCATGGCCTTGGCAGACTTTACCTCTCGGTTCTTCTCATTAATGGGCCGATGGAGCCCTTGCACGCGGAGCATAGTCTGCAGGCGTTAGTTAACCAGGCGTCAGTTAAACCAAGCGTCAAATTAAAATAGGTGTCAAATAAACAAGCGGCTTAAACCAATAAAGCATTAAAAAGTGCTAAGTTACCTCAGCCAGGAGAGCCAGGATGGCCTCCAAATTCATGGTGCCGACTCCTGGCACATGGTCCTTCTCCTTAGCAGGAATGGAGCGCAGCATAGTCCTGGCCATCTGGACCAGGTCAATCTCAACAGGGGCGCCTGCACAAAAATAGATTGGTTAAATTCAGTCAAAACAAGGAAAACAAGCCGCCTGGTTCTCATAAAACAGGCGACCCTTCAATCAAATTCACAAAAAGAAAGGCAACTACCTCTAGTATCCCTTGGAGGCCGACTGGTCGCCGGGGTAACAAGCGTCCTAACCCCACTAAGGGGGGTTCCTATTCTGCTTCTCAGCAGAAGGCCGCCTGGCATTCCCAGGCGTGGAGACGTCCCCAGCCGTCTACTTTCAGACTTTGGGGTCCGGCTGGGAAGCAGGAGAGGGCCTAGACGTGTTGCCCTGCAAACAAAATTAAACAAATTAATAAGCAGGCGGTGGGTTTACTAGAGAGATTCTCAGGAGAGGTTCCCAGAGAACCAATCCCATGCTGACACGTGGCAACCCCAATGATTGGGTAAAATGGCGGCTTTTCTAGCCCAATTCCCGAGGAAGCCATGCATTCCTAGGTTTCCGTAACATAGGATGACGACACACATTTCGAGACCCTATAAATAGAGAGATGTTCCCATCATGGGACACATTCAAAAATATACGCAAAAAAACAGAGCAATCATTAATTGCAGATATTCTCTCGGGATCCGAGAAAATACTTTACTTTCTGCACTTTTTACAGACTCCATACACATTCTAACTTGATCGTTGGAGGCGGAACTCCACCCACCCGGAGTCTCCACTATTTTGCAGGTACAGACGTCCAGAGACCAGTCTTGGAATTGTAACTCTCCCGTAGGACATCAAAAAACCTCGAAACACTAATAAGTTCAAATAATTTCAAATCAATACTAATAAGTTCTGATAAGTTCTAATAAGTAAAAATAAGTATTGCATTCTCAAAAAAAAAAAAAAATCAATAAGTATATTAATAAGTTCGGATCAATATTAATAAGTTAAGATGATAAGAAAAATTAAGTTAAATAGAATGGACCCATAAAGCAAGTCATAATTTATTTTTTTATACTAGTACTTCGTATAATTTACATGTCATAATGTGAGTATCAACTACAATGGGAGTATTATTTTTCAGGCGGGTGCATATTTACAAGTTCTATTGACAATGGGGGTATTATTTTTCAGGCGGGTGCATATTTACAAGTTCTATTTACAATGGGAGAAGGAGGGATATAAGGATTATTCCAACCTGACCACAAGGGTTAAAGGCGAAGTTGTAACCACTATTTCAAACCATTCCAAAATTTTAAGATTCTTAAAGCTAAACTTTGAACATGTAGGTAATTAAACGTATAGTGTAAGAGAATGACAAAAGCCTAAAATAAAACAAGAAAAAAGGAAATGAGTGTAGAAGCAAGTATGTATTACACCATTCCTGACTAAGCTAACAATTAGGTACTCACATTTGAGGGTTTTCACCCTTTGAGTACTCACTTTTCTTCACCCTTTAGGTACTCATGCTCAAATTTAGGTTAGTAATCATACCCTTCACCATATCACAGTTAATCCTAATATAATTAACTTGTTATTTAAAAAAATCAATTTTATGGATAAATATAAGTTTTATTTTATCCAACATTGTTTTATATAGTGTCATTATTGCGTGGCTTGCTTTTAGAATGACCAATTATAAATATAATGTACTCTACTCCATATATGTATTCATACAATAATTTTAAAGAGCAAATTTTGTAAAATATTTATTTTAGTATATATTTATGATTTTATTTTTGGATTTAATTCTTGATCAAAGTCTGAGGATTAATAAAATAATCATGTGATATTATTTCCTTGCATCTTTTCAATTTTTGGGACGAATAAGTCTTGTGTATGTAATTAATTTTATTGTAAAACGATCAATTTGAGCGTAACTTTAACTATTTTTATGGTAACTTTAACCACTTAAAGGGTAACTTTTAATTTATCGTTTCTTTGAATTTTGTTTTAATGTGTAATTTCTTATAGATACGTGATCACATATTATAAAAACTAATATGATTAATCTAATACATTATAAGTTTATTTGTAAGATAAAATTTATTATAGAAAAATTATAACTTTTGCAGTATAAAGGGTAACTTTAAGTAATTTTAACATAACTTTAATCCGTTTTACAATACATTAACGTACACCCGCCTTTTTGGAGAATTTGTGTTTTGAGACCGCGTACGTCTTTTAAGTGTTGTATCTATTGTTTTTAATCTGAATCAAAATCTGATCTTGATCATAACCTTTTAATTGTTTCATTTTATTTTGTACGAGTTAATATTGAATTTATCTTTTGTTCCTTTTCTTGTTTCTTGATATTTATAAACAAAAATTGTTTTTTTTTTATAAAAAAAATTAAATATTATGTTAATGGCCTGGTGAGTTAAATCATACCTGTAGTTAACTTACATGATTTGTGGGGGAGAGTACCCAAAAGGTGAAGAGAAAAAAAAGTACTCAAAAGGAGAAAATCCTCAAATTTTGATACCTAATTATTAGCTTAACTCCGCTATTACTCCGTATTTACTAAAGAGATCAAAATTGAAATAAAACTTTGGACAAGTAGGGAAGCAAATGTGTGGTGGAGGATTAACCAAAGCCCAAATATGTTGATTCAAAAGTTTATTGTGTTTTATCTATTAATTTATGGTTGTTGATATAATATGTAGTTATTAACGAAGTGAATATGAATGGTTAGGCTTATATTATTAAATTAATCTTAAATTTCATTATTTCATTAGCAATAATAATGTTTCGTTTTAATTTATTACAGGTATATGAATTTTATCCTTTAATTATAAATAGTATTAATCTAGTCAATTTGATCCTATATTCCCTGAGGTATTTTTTTAATCTAATATCTTAAATTTTTTGATGTGTTAACATCAGTATAATTCTACAAGATAATTTAGAGTACTCTTTCGAATACCAAGTCTTATACACTTACTATTGAATCTGAGCAACTATAAGACTTGGTTACTTACTATTGAATGAGATTATGTGAGCAAATCTTTCTTTTCAAAGACTAAGTCTTATACACTTACTATTGAATGAGATTATTTGAATGTAATCGACATGGATCAATGATTGAATCAGTATGTTGTTCGTCTTATTCCAAACAGTTTACAACCATAAATTGAAGTAATAGTTAAACCAAAAGAGATAAAATATAAGAGATGTCAAACTAATTAGCTTCAATACGTACACTAATTGTTATTCTCCCTCCGTCGCTATACAATTTTTAGGGAATTTGGTTCAAAAAAATGGATAGTACATATGTACTACGAAGCACCATTTATGCAGGAGAAAATAATAATAACAATAAAAACAGTTACAACTACTACAATAAAAATAATAGTTATTATTATTGTTATTAGCAATAATGACGCGTTCGCAAATTGATTTGAATATTTTTTTTAAACCCAAACCAAAGTGCAAAAAAATAGATGTTTAGTTGTTAAATAGATACTAGTTCTCTTACTGTAATAAATACGAAGTAGTTACAAGAAGAATCAAGCAGAAATATCATAACGATGGAAGAAAAATTATAGTTTCTCTTCCTTGCAATCCTTAAGCTCATAGCCACAATACTTTGTCAAATGAGATACAGTAGAGATGCAAGGTTCCCCATACTCTTTAACCTCCTACAACAATAGACAAAATCTTTAGAAGTCTTCATTTTTCTACAAAATTAAAGTGAATTATAAAATCATATGGCAAAGCTAACAAACCTTCATATAAGTCTTGAAGAGATCCTCACACCTCTTACGACCTTTATTTCCAGAATAAGACTGGGCTACGAACCACCGCGTAACTGTTGTAGTCCCAAGCTCTTTGTTCAGAAAAGCAAGTTCTTCTTGAATTGACATGCCACTCTCTTGCTTTCCCAGGGAGGCTAAAAGCTCTTCAACACTTGATAAACCCCGTAAAACGGCAACTTGCTTAAGCATGTCATGATGATCTGGAAGAAATAACATAACATTCACATTATTATTATTTATATCTTTGCACATTTATATCATTTTGCGATAAAAATATGGCTTTAAACAGAGAAGAATTTAGAGAGAGTATTTATGCTGACGCCTTCTACATTCTATATATTGATTCATCTTTTAAGGCCGACCTCAAATTATTTTGGGATTAAGGCTTTGTTGTTGTAGTTGTAGTATTTATATTATTTCTTTGAAGTTGGCAACAAGAGCAAGTGTGCTCATCTCCTTCCAATAGACTTTCATCATCATTCAAGGAAGAAGATTGCTCCCCATGCATGTTTGTTAATCTAACAGTAATTAGTGTATTTCATGTCCTGGCCTCTTTCTTGCAATAATGCTTGTATTTAAGATGTGGTTTCTAATTGTAGTAGAGTTAGGCCTTGTTTTAGTTCAGTCAAATTATGTCCTAATGATACTTGAGCTTCCAAGAATGATCATAAAATAATAAGAGCACCCGTATATATAATTGAGCCCCATGATTTATAAAATATGATACATAAAAGAGAAACAATGGAAAAAATTTCGACTTACAGTAGCCTGGTCCTCCAAGCTTCAATGCTGTTTCAAGGCCAAGTAAAATAACGTGAGAAAGGACTTTCATTGAAAGGAAGAGTATGAAGATTGAGCAATACATGATATAGGGTAAAACAAGAGTACAATACATGATTGAGCGAAAAGAAAGTTGGGACAATATTCTGAAAATTTGTGACATAATTGAGCAATAAAAACAAGGAAAAATAGAAAACAATAATCCCACCTTTGGGTGGTCTTCTCAAAATAGTCCCACATTTACTTAATTTCAAAATAATCCTACCTTTAACTTCAATCTTAATAAAACAAGCCTTTTACCTGTTGCTAAGCTATGGTAACCGATATATCAAGTTAATTGTAGCACTTGTCAAGTTTTCATTGGTTTAGATATTCATTTTTCTTAAAAAGCTTAAAACTATAAAATATAATCAATATCTTTGCAGCTCACATCTTCTGTAATTGTACAGCACCACCCTCATCCAAAAATTCAACCCCTGCCACCACAACTTCCTACCCCAACATCACAACATCTTTGTATGATTGTACCTAACCAATGCAACTTCTAATAGATCTATGTTTCTCGCCCCAGCACCATTCAATCATATCAGCTAAGAATGATTAACGTGTTTAACTACTAAAATTAAGGTTGCAAATCAGGACAAAAAAAGATGCTCCTAGTCTTATCCTGAAAACATGGTACAAGATTTCCAATGGTTAATAATTTGGAATCAATTATAAATCATTCCATAAAACAACTTAATTCTACTAATAAGTTGAACTTGTGTAGTTAAAGTTGAACTTGTGTAGTTAAAAACTTAAAATTGTAAATAAATCACTATAAAGTTCTGTTTATTTAATTAAACCAGAAAAAAATTGATATTTTTAAGGGGAGTTAACCTTTGAAACTCCTGTCATTGAAATCCACCCAAAAACTGATCCATATCAAGGGGCGCACTGAAGTAGCCAGAACAAGATAATATATTTTAGTGTAATCCTCTACTTTCTCCTTATTTCTGCCGTTTCTATTCACCACAATCACACACCATCTTTATACATTTTCTGCCCAAAAAAACCAGTCCATAACAGAATACCACCCAAAGGTGGGATTATTGTTTTCCACTTTTCCTAAAAACAATCATATAAGCCTCATTTCCTCAACCAAAATCACAGATTGACATGCAATTCTACAAAAAAGTGTTATCAAATTGAAGCAACGTCAGTTTGAATTCTTTCACAATTTGACTCATATAAAAGTTACTTTCTGTGTGATCCCTAATAACAATTAAAAAAAAAAAAAAGGGTCAGGCCACTTCAACTCAATTCAGTGAAGATAATGAAACTTAACAAAGAAAAGAGGGTGTACATTGCAGAAGTTAATCAGATCACAAACTAAGGCTTTCATACTTGTACAGGATACAAACTGTTTATCATATGTTAGTTATGGAATAAGGATAAAATGTAGCATTGGATAAACATAAATTAGAACAATCTTTGTTCGCCCGCATAACGGAATTTGGGTGAGGAATTACATAGCTGAATAGGCTGTTCTTTGTTTTATTATATAAGGCCCCAATCTTATGAATTTGGATGAGGAGACTTGAAAATTGGAAAGGATCGGATAGAGGAAGGTGAAAGGTAAAGGACAACCAAAGCAAACTTTAATGAAGGTGATTGAAATCGATATGTGACTATTGGGAAACGGCTTATGGAGTCCCCGAGTTCATCAGAGACACTGAAAACAAAAGGCTGGTGCGCCTTAAATATTGGGAAACGGCTTATGGAGTCCCCAAATTACCAGCTTTTGTACCTTTGCCTTCCAAGTAGTAAAGGTGCAAACAAAAAGTTCAGAGAGTTGAAGATTCTGTAAGTGGTCATAGAGCGAACTACATGAAAATGCAACTCAGAATCTAGATGACCAGACAATATTAAACCCCGGACGACCCTTGCAACCGGGCCTTTTGTACTTTCGGTCCGAAATACCCGACCCGAGTCTTAAACCACCGGGCCCAACCACCCGCCTTTTCAGCCCGAAATCCGCCCGAAACCTAATTTGCTCACCTCTAAGACTAAACGAGACCTCATTCATAATTTCATATCCAGCTAATCTAAACGGAAAATAAAACAAATTGATGATCATACAAAGCAAAACAATTATGAAATTCATCATCCAAATTATGGCAAACGAAAAAGAGAGAATAAATACGGAAAATAAAACTGTAACCTCGGAATAATCGGGAGCGTGACAACCACCCTCCTACGCTTGATTTGCCGCCGCCGCCGACTCTACTGCCTCCGCCCATCGTCTGCGAAAACTAGGCAAGGATGAAGGAGCGTAAACACTAAAAACTTTGTTACTGTACCCTACCTTTGTTCTTGGCTTTATCTACCAAGTAATCCGTGGTAAATTTTGTTACTCTAGTATTTTTAATTGACTAAAGCACCCTTTACTTTACCAAGGTTTAAATAAAAACTAGAAAATTATATCGTATCTTATTTATATTGAAAATATATCACACATGATATATTTTCGTAATCTATTATGCTCAACACATTGGTGTTAGTATTTTCATAAGTATTTATCTTATATGGTCAACACTAGAGGTGGGCACGGATCGTGTCGGCACGGGCCTGGCACGGCGGCCCACCGGTGGGCCGTGGGCCGTACTGTGAACACCAAAACCTGAAACCGGCACGAAACTCGGTCCGCCGGCACTGCACGGCTTCAACGGCTATAACGGCTAAAAAACGGTTATTTTTCTCCAATGGCCATATTAACGGCTAGTTTACCATCCTAATTACTATAAATACTCCACTTCCTCCTCCATTTTTTTCCACAACTCATCTACTCTCTTATTCTCAATTTCTCATATTCTCAATTTCTACTCTCTTATAATCTCTATTTCTCCAAAAAAAAAAAAAAACATCTCATATATAATCTTTAATTCTCTATTTCTCAATTATATAAATTAATTATAAAAAAAAATTATTAGTTCGGGAATTACCGGAAAGCATTGAAGCGTCGTTGTAAGATCTAACTCAATTGTTATTATTATTATTATTGTTATTATTAATTATTAATTATTATTGTTATAATTAATTTATTATTATTGTTATAAACTTATAATTATTGTTGTTATTATTATTATTGTTGTTAATCTTGTTATTATTATTGTTATTATTATTGTTGTTATTGTTATTGTTATTATTATTAATCTTATTATTATTTGTATTAAAAGTTTAAAAACTAATCATGGCATCAAACCCGAACATTTCTTCCTCCTCTAGGAAATCTAAGTAAAAAAGAACTAGTACTAGTAGGGAATCACCAAACTCAAACACTTCAATGCCCCCCTACCATGCCCATGCCCATGCCCAATCCAAACACTTCTATCCCCTTCTTCCATCCCCAAACCATGGAAGGATATCAACATTTTACCGATATGTCTCCTCCTTGGAATGTGCCTAGTCCGGGATTTCAAGTAAACCAATTCTCACATCACTTATACGGCAGTCACGGCACAAAACATGAATTTTCTTATCATACTACCCAAACTAGCCAAACACATGCTACCGGGTCAAGTGAACAATCCCCCGAACTTACAAACACGTTCGAATGGTGTACCGAAGAGGAACTTGTCAATACCAAACGAAAGAGTAATGTTTGGGGATTTTTTCTGTTAAGTAAAGATGGAACTAGGGCTAAGTGTAAGACATGTAGTAGAATTTTCTCGGCCGATACCAAGGGAGGGACTGGACACCTTAGTAGACATGTTTAAAAATGTGGGGAACCTTCTAGTGATCCAACCCAACCCAAAATCTCTCAATTCCACCCACAAGGTTTCACTTACAGTTATGAGAGAGATAGAGATGAACTTGGGAGAATGTTAGTACATGTCGAACAACCTTTTCTTTTTGCCGAAATGATCCTTTCAACAATTACATTAACCGAGCTCTACAACCCCAACACAAAAAAATATCTAGAAAAACTGTCCGTTCTTCTGCCATGAAACAATTTCTAGAATATAAAATGAAATTGCATTATGAATTAAGTAATCTTACTAGTAGAGTTTCTTTAACTGCTGATGCATGGGATAGTGGTTACGGTAATCACTATATGTGTGTGACTTGTCATTGGTAAGATAATTCTTTGTTATTACAAAAACGCATTATTCATTTTAAAATGCTTGAATACCCCCACACCGGTCTTAATATTTCTCATCATTTAATCCAAGCTATTGATGCATATGATCTTAGGTCCAAAGTCATGTCTATGACTTTTGATAATGCAACTTTTATGACATTTAGTGCTAATTTAGTTAAACCACAATTGACCGATGGTCTATTAGATGGAGATGCTCTCCATATTAGATGCATTTGTCATGTTCTTAACTTATGTGTGAAGGATGGAACACAAGCAATTGGTCCATTTTATCACAAAATTAGAAATGCTATTTTGTCCATTAACAGTTCTAACATGAGATTTCAGGAATGGAAAAGTTTTTGCAGGCAACAAAGGATAAAGGCGGTCAAAATTTCAACGGATTGCGTAACTAGGTGGAACTCCACCTATGAAATGTTGAGTAGGGCAATCGAGTACAAGGGTCCATTAACAATTTTTTATAATCAAAAATTTCCACAACTTGCTTTATTAGATGATGATTGGCTTAATTGTGAAAAATATATGCAATATTTACAATTACTGTATAGCATAACACATTGTTTTTCTTCTGTTTATAATCCTTGTGCTCATTCTTTTCTTTATAATGCATGTTTACTTGCACACTTTTTGCTGAACACCGATTAGAACATGATTATGATGGATATCTTCCATCAATGGAGCTAAAATGGTGTAAATATTACACTACTATTCCTTTGATTTATATTTTTGCTTCTATATAAGATCCTAGGCAAAAGTATGATGGCACATTTTTGTTAATTGATATTTATTTTCAAAGCATGAATTATGAAGATGATGTTAATAGTTATAAAAGTAATGTAACCGATCAATTTTTTTCGTTATATAGAGTTTATGAATCTAAATATGGATCTGTGACTCGATTTGCTCCTTCTCAAACATCCAAAAATGTAAGTAAAAGGGCCAAAGGTTTATTTGCACAAGCTGCTAACATGATGTCTAAGTTTTCAGGTACCTAATCATCATCCAGGAGAACACAAAGCGATGTTTCGGAGTTGCAAATGTACTTGAGTTACGACTTCGTGAAAGGCATGGACGACGAAGAGAAGTTCGGCCTCGACTGGTGGAAATCACAAAACTCGAAGCATCCAATTTTGGCGGCAATGACACGAGATATCTATGCTATCAAAGTTTCCTCCGTTGCCTCCGAACGAGCTTTTAGTGCATCATGGAGGGTTTTGGACGATCGAAGAACAAAACTCAAACCCAAAACACTTGAATTATGTGTTTGTTTCAAGGATTGGTTGGATGCCGAAGCTCGCTGCCAAGATCGTACTTATGCACAAAACGACGACGATGATGAAGGAACGTGGGGTTCTGCTGGTTCTCAATCAATGCAATTAGCCGACGAACAAGATGAAGATGAAGACGAACAAGAAGACGAAGACGAAGAACAACAAGAATGATTAGATGTCTACTTACTCTTAATCCTAGCTAATTTTTGTAATATTGCACCCTATATATTAAAATAAGCTACAAAGTTAAGTTATTCAACAATTATTGTACGGTTTTATAATTATAAATTATTGTATTATCGATTTATCGTACCGACTTATAATAAAATTAATGAAGTTATTCATCGATTTTTTGTGTTATCGCGTCGTACCGGCTTATCGAACTCTTAATTTTTAAATTATGTGCATTGTTACTTTTTGCTAAATATATATAATAATAAGTAATAACATAAATTTATTATTACATAAACTAAAATTAATAAAATCATTTTAAGATACTTGTTTTAGTTGTTTATTAATTTGTGATATTTGTCCATATAATATCGATTTAAAAAAAAAAAATTGACTGAAACAAAAACAGAAGGGGCGCGGTTTGAGCGCGGCTAAGGAGAGGCCGCGCTCAAGAAGGAGCGGGTGTGCCACTCCAGGAGCGGGCGTGCCACACCCAAGGCGCGGGCGCGCCACACCCAAGGCGCGGGCGCGCCACTCTAGGAGCGGGCGCGCCACGACACGGTTGGGCACGGCTCCGACACGGTGACGACACGACACGGTTGGGCACGTGGGTCGTGCCGTGCCGTGGGCCGCGGTGTGCCGAAACCAGGTACGGCACGTGCCTGGCACGACACGACACGGCACGAGCCACTGGCCGGCACGGTGCCCACCTCTAGTCAACACAAAGGCCTAACTACTTTTGTATCCTCTCATCTCTTGTCACAAACACCTTCCCTCTCCTTAATAATGAAACTTAACTGCACTCAACGACGACAACAACAATCTTTCAACCACTAGGCAAATTATTCACATCGATAGATAGATTTAGCCAAAATTCCTTCTCAACGATTCTTGAGCGTCATATAAATAAATAAGTAAAAATGATGTCACCATACCTATCTATATCTGTATCTATACTAGTATTTAAAAACAAACCCCAACCTATAAATATGTCACATCATACATTTTATTTTTAATATGAATGTCGCATGTCATTATTTAGAAAAATCATCAAATTTTTATTTTTATTTTGAAAAATTAGAATTGTATTAAATTTTCAATTGATGGGGCATAATAACAATGGACCACGTGTCCCAAACCCCCTAATGGGTAAGTTACACTTGTCAAAATTTGAGAGGTCAATGACCCCTGTATTGTTCTTATAAAAACCCCATAAGGGTGCATGTTTGAGGAGGATGGAATACTCACTTAAGAAAGTGACACACACTTTCTCTCTAAAAACCCCCTCTAACTTCTCTCTAGATTAGCCTTTGTTTATCTACTTAATATTGTTATTGATTCCCCTAAACACATACTTACTTAGGCATCGGGGGGAGATAATCCTATAAGGATTATTCTTCTTTTTTGCACGTAATCATCTCAAGACATTTGGAGAAGGATGTGACTTAGCATTGCTGGTAGCACTAAAGGGAAGCCTCATTCACCCACACTTCTACAAATATTACTGTTGAGTTAAGATGGTTACAATATCAATAACATTACAAACCTCCTCGACACCATCGATGTATTCATGCTTTGTTCGGTCATCAACATACATCCAGCGACGATCCATATCTAATAATATAGTATAGACACACCAGATTAACTAAAGTAACTATTCAAATTACACTACACATATATACATGCTGCACAAAATATTGATTGGGAGAACCTTCGTACACACTTGAATCACTTAAACAAACTATCGTTGATTATCATAGAAGCTACCAGAGTGGAGCCAAAAATTCCAAACAGGGGGACAAATGGACATTGCATAATATAACAAAAAATTTAGAAAAAACCAATATATGAAAAACAGTTA